AGGGCCGTACGCGTTACCCGCGGTTACGGGGAAGCTGAATTTAAATTGGTCACACGTGGGTAAGGAACGTTACCCTAAATTTTCAGCTTCCTAGCTTTTGTGGTTCCCGAGTTGGAAGTTGCGGACAAGTTGCTGCGGGAAACGTTACCCTAAATTTCCAGCTTCCTAGCTTTTGTGGTTCCCGAGTTGAAAGTTGCGGACAAGTTGCTGCGGACACAAAGACAACCCCGTAACAATATGCGTTTTGTACTGCTGTTACACAGCACAAAACGCATAACAAGGTGTTAACAGCAAGAAAATGAAGTTGACGGGTGCGAGACATGACATGTAACACTAATGGGACGAGAAGGACGAACACTGGCTGTGACAAAGACGCAATTTTGTTGATGCGTCCTCTGGCTAAGTACCACCCTAGGACCGCAGTGCCGATCCTCAGACACGTTTCGGCTCCGCGCACGAACGTGTGAAATTTTTGACGGGAAAAACGCTAACTCGGGAACCAGAAAAGCTGCTGGGAAAGTAGGATGCTTGGAATATGTTTCTCTTCATGATCATACAACAGTGAGATGCTGCTCGGAACCAAAGAGACTGGTGTACCAGAGACTGGCTTATGCAAGCGTCCCAGTAGCATCAGTAACGTGGGTTTTGTTCAAAATTGTCTGCCCGAAAACCCTGCTGAATGGCATTTCAGAGTTGGAAAAATCACACGCCAAGGTATTTAGCAGGACTTCCCTCCTCCCTTATTCGGTGCGGGGTACCATTCTCTAACATGCAGTCCACCTCCCCCGTCCCCCTCTTTCCTGTCTTGGTGCTGCTGACAAGCTGAGCGCATTAAGTCGTGCCGGTGCTCTTTTGGTTTTGAATTTGAGGACCAGTTCGACACTGGCGAATTCTTGTTTTTCCGCGCCCGGATGTTCGGCGAGCTTGTTTCTTATCTCACTGCTCCGTCTTATCAGCTTCTGCAATCGCTTTTCGCCTTGTCTTTCTGCGTTGTGCTGTTAGCATTCCAGATGCTATCGGCACCGGCCGGTTGAATGCAGTTCAGTTGTGCGTGGATCAGGAGTTACTCGCCCGGCATCTTTGTGACATGTCTGCAGCTAGAATTTGGAGCAAAAATACCCAGCACCCATTTTTTCAAAAAAAAAAAATTTGTGAAAAACCGAGTACGATACACTTCATTCTCGAGTACCGTACTCAGATTTTCACATAATTTCTTTTTTTCGCAAATTTTCTTGAAATTTTTGTAAATTTTAGGAATTTTTTTAACTTTCCTTGTATCTAAAACTACTTTTTTACAGTATTTTCTATGACTGTGTAACAGAACAAAAGAAATTATGTGAAAATCTGAGTGTGGTACTTGAGAATGAAGTGTATCGTACTCGGACCCGATGATTTTTGACCAGTGCTGGCGGCGTACCCGATGGTCAGCATAGGGGGGCTGATTCAGACGTCGCCTGATCATGAAATCTGAAGGAGTACTTTCGTTGCTCTAAACATCGTCATTATTCAGATAAGTAACATTTTAAAATTGTCTTTCCTTAAGTCTGTATCGTTTAGCTAAAATAGTGTTTCTTTTTTTTTTTTTCTGGTTTTTCAAATGATTTGAGGCTCTTTAGCGAACTTTGCCGAACTCCACACAGTTCTTTTTTTCGGTTTTTTTTTAAATCTTTTTCTTTTTTTTTAAGTTTTTGTGATTTTGACTGCCGTTGCATCATACCTCTACCAGATACCGATGCTCCTAGAATTTATTCAGGATGCTCTCAATTGAATTAGAAACGTTCTTTGCTCCTCTTTGTTTCTTTCTTTCCACATTTTCGTTTCCTTCTTCCCTCCTCTTCGTTGTCTGTCTCTTTTAGGGAACAGTGTATGGAATTTTTGGAGGGCTTAATATTGATTTTCATGTAAATTTTCAAAACTTTGTAAGATTTTGTTAAAATAATGTGCTTTTTTTTTTGAGGTGAATCCATAGTAGTATAGCGATTTTTGATTCAGGTCAAATTTAACAGCGCTGTGAAATCGGTCTCTGCATTTTGAGCAACAAATTTTCAGTTTCTGAGTCTTAAAATCTGCTGCTTAGTGTTCTCCTCTTTCGCGTTCTCGTGCCATTTTGCTGTAGTGGTGCCCAATGAATTCTGAGTGTAACGCTTGCCACTTTTCCAGAAATGAATCTGACATCGTTGATGCAGCAAGCAAAAGTGGTTACCAAGAAATTCTCCGAAATGATGTACATACCGGCTGAGGATGGCGATGAGCCGCAGGTCAATAGCACCGTAACTGCAGACGAAGCAGACAGCCAAGCAACCGCTGATGAAGTAAAGAAGGAGCAGGAAGATGAGGTGGAGGAGGCAGCTGACGCAACTGAGAATAAGGAAAATGTCTCAGCAGACGAGCCATCAGTAGCGGTATCAGAATTGGACAGGAATAGCCAGAATGATGGCGGATATGGCCTCGGATTGGATACGGATGCGCTGGAAGCAAATGCTGCTGCCACCATCGAAGCTGCACGCAAATATGCCAGTAAGTTTACGTTTCCCTTGGCGTATCTCTTGCAACCATAGGCGGATCTAAAGGGGAGGGGGTTTCTCCCCCTTTCCCTCTTCGTCACTACTCCCTTCTCCCCTCAGTCACCTCGCTACCGACGATAGACTTGCTGCTTACCCCTCTCCCCCCGTTTTCCACCCCGCTATTCGACCCTAAACTACGACGACGACCGGGGGAGGGGGAGTTGACAGGCGGTATCGAACAGAGTTGTAAAATATCTGCTACCTAAGCCCCCTGGACCTGCTAGTGCTCGCTACATCCCGTGCGTGCAAGGGTTGAAACCAGCAACAACCAAAGATAGGCGAAGCGCACCTCTGTCGTCCTTTTAATAGAGTGACTCCATGTTTTATTAATAGAACAAGATTAAATAATCTACAAAAATGGATGTCGATTTCTACAAGTGCGAATAATGAATTCTATTCTGCGACAAACAATAGCTGCTGAATGTTGGGAAAGTGGCAATTTTTTTTTTTTT